AGACAGATGGGAAGTGAGGCTGAGAGAGATACTAATAATCCATACCTAATTTGTGCAGTCGCGGCAAACTGGTCTCATCAAACGCATTGATACACCTCAGTTTCATGTAACAAAAATTGCAGTGGATCAGTGTATTAGATCACATTTTAGTCACTTCAGTTTTGCGTTTGAACGAATCGTATTAAACAAGTTTGCACCCACACCCACAACCTAAAGAGCTCGATCTGTCTTCACGAGCAGAATGCCTCACAGCAGAATTCTCAACCCATGCTGAAACATGTTGGCGAAGCAGAGTCGTCGTCCAACTGGACAGGCAACTTGGCTGATTTAAGAGGAGAAAAGGTAAACGAGTTCCCAGAAAGCAAGGAGTGGAATTTGGAGGAAAATATTAGTCCGTTCATTAGCCATGTTCATTAATAATTAATAATGCTTTCCTTTTCCATGGATATGGAAAATTATGTAGATTTTGATTGCCACAATGCCACTCCCTTCACACAAAACAAGATAACAACTCCCATCTTCAAAAACTGGCAATGTTACTGTTAATGTTATAGCAACTGTGTATTGTGAAATTGGCACAAGCCCTCGAGCTACTCACTAGATGGAAGCAAGGCCATAATGATCTATCATACATATTATTAATACACTTTAATTAAGAGAAAAGATGATTTGTATTTGAGTGCCAATTCAAAAAAATAAAGCGCAAATAAAAATCAAATGACTTTTATCATAAGGGCACAAGCAGAGCAGTTGATTTAAATTCGTCATGTGCACAATTAGGTTTTAAACAAAACATAAAATCTAAAATACCTGTAATGCATTTTATTCAAGGAGAACATATGATTTTTTTTAAAGAACATTTGAAAACGAAAACTTCCAATATGTCAGTTATTCTCAATGTCAATATGATATGATCATATCAATGAAACTGATATGATTGTTGATGGTAAATGGTATGATTATATGATTACTAAAAAAAAAATTTGGTGTACACGTATTAATTGTTTATTTCTTATTTTCTTTCCCTTTAATTTAGTAAAAATCAGTCAAGTAGAATAAAAAGAGGTTCTTTATTAAAAAAAAAAAAAAAAAAGGATAAAAAAAAACCACACAAACGAGACAAAGACTTACAGTATCAGGAATTTTATTTCATATATGTATATAATTCTGTTTTTGTTAATAGTTTAATTTATTATACCCATAAGCATATACATAGACTATAACCATCCATAGCTCATTTCTCTTGACAATCTACCCATATCGTTTAATCATCTTTTAAAATAATTCCTTATAAGATTTAGAGAAAAAATAGACTTCAGAAAGAGAGAACAGCCAATTATTTTTCACACCCAAAGCGAACAAAACAAAAGAAATGCAAAACATACTTTAAAAAAGGACAAAAGTTTTAAAATCCCTTTTCAGTTTTTAAAATAAAAAAAGACCTCACCAATATAACACCAGCAATAATCATAATAACAGCCATTAAAAGGACATTATGATATCTGCCTCCTTTGCAGGCTTTTGAAATCATATACTGTATGCGGGCAGATTTATACGTGAGAAATACATCCTTAAATGTGTGTGTGTGTGTGTAAGACTGTTGACAGTCCCCATGGTCCCATTCACAATAAGCATGTCATTGCCATTGACAATACAGTAATATAAATAATATTTTTCTTGGTAATGACTTGTTTCCCTCGGATCACAGAGCGGGATGATCTCCCCTCCTCATGAGGAAGCAGAGAAGAGCAGCTTCTGGTTGGAAAGGACAGATGTACAGACATAGAAATGGGACATGACCAACCGTCATTGTCTGTTACACCTCACCCTAACAAGTGGGGGATTAAGAAAAAAAGATGAAGACTAAAGCTTATAATGAAAACAAGGAAACTTTTGTCACAGGAATAGATAAAATTGCACTAAAAACTGAAACGAAAGACACAAAGTGCAGGTGCACCGATTGAGAAATGTTACGTGATTGACGTGCGGAGTGTATTTCCTCTGCAGTTGAGGCTCGTCTCAATGGGGTTTTACACAGGATTTATTAATTCATGCAAATCACACCCTGTATTTATGCAAAACAGCTACACACTGTGCCATTTTAACTCTTCCCACTTGAACATGCTTTCCTCATCCATGATTGGCCAAAAGCAATGATGGTTTCTTTAGAAACAGCATTGAAAGATGGCGACATTTCACTAAAAACATATAATAAAGGCAGGTTGTTACCTCTAAGATGCAATGCATGCAGAATAAGTCCATTCGAAACTAGATAAAAAAGGTGAGCCAATCACAGGCAGGAGAGGCATGAGGTCAGCAAGCCCTGTGGAAAAGCCCTTTGAAAAGTTCTGACATCACAGGGAGGGAATGAGAAAAAATGTGCTATGGCTCTGAAAGTGTTAAGCTTAGCTATGACTCCTCAATCA